TCAAATTAATAACCCAATTACATTCCAAACACAAAAGCTGACCTCTGTCTACCTGCAGTTTCCAAACTACATAGAAGCAATAGTTCAAGTATTAAACAAAGCAGTATCATTATGTCTAAATAAAGTAATACATATTCCCTTCCCCAATCCATTTTTTTCACAATGAGTTGTACTCAGGTTAAATCTCTAGCTGACCCTGGCTACTGTCCACAATAACACTGTGCTAGCTATATGCAAAGTGGGATATCTGAAACTGCATTTGGAATGCCAAGACAATATTCACACACAACTTTTACATCAAACACTGATAGAAAAGCATAAAAATGCAAACTAGGCATGTTTAAAGCACAAAAATTCACTATATATTCCATTAATATTACAATACATGTTTTAATTATGCAACCTATTTATCCACAGTGCTAAAGGAATGCATGAAGACATTATTCTATTAACTGCAGCAACACAGCTTGTATTTTTCCACCATCTGCCAGCAGCAGTGAGATTGCATTACCTTTTTTCCATGTTTTCCACTGGAACCTGCTTTACGTATTAAAAAACATAGATCTTTCCTATGTATTTCTTATCCAGAGCCTCTACTGATTGAGAGTTTTAAGTACTATTAGCAAAACGCCTGAGAAGAAACTTAAAATGGCAGTGCCAACCCTTTTCAATATCCCCTTCCCCACAGTTACATTACTGGGAAAACTATGAGGAATCATGAGATCTCTTGTAGCTAGAAGTAGGCTTGAATTCTAAAGATTTCATAAGTCTGCCCACATTTTCTTTTCCTTATGGGTACTTAAATGTTTCTAATATGCATCCAGATGTCTGACTTTTTTTCCCAGTGACCTTTCCTCATAGTAACAGCAAAAGTCTGATTACATGTGGTATGAAAGTATGTTAGATGCATAGATAGGCATGGCCTTCAGAAAGAAATAGTGCTGCTGGGAAAAATATACATTTCTTAAGTGGGGGAATATAATTTATATTTTTTTTCTGGACATTTCCAAGGCAACAGCTGCTCATCCTGAGATATTTCTAGTCTGGGAGTGAAGGTTTCAGTAGTCCTGAAGAAGTAGGTACCTGTACTCTTGGTAAAGACTATCAGCCTAAATGTCAACCCCCAAAAATACAACTAAAGAGAAATTTTCCATCAGCATTACAGTCTCCTCTTTTTAGCTAAAAGAATCACTTTGCCACTTGACCATAGATGTTTCAGAGCTTTTAGTGGAAAAATGGTTCTTTCCTCCACGGTTTCTGAGGCATCAGCAACTTGTCTAGTTTGCTGATAGGGAGTTGTGTCCTTTAGGATTCTCTTTGATAAAAAAAAATATAAGCATGAAAAGCTCTGGCTTTTGAACTCCCAGAAGCAGCAGAAACGGCAGGAGATTTCAGAAATAATTTCAAATCTTTCAAAATGAAACGCCACTCAGACTTTTTCAAACCAAAGTTAAAGTAATAACAACAATAATAAAGTAGCTGAATTTCTTTTCTCCCACTTTGAAACAGCACATTATAGAACTGTGCCTTAGATTGACATTAATAGATGAAAGGCACTGTGCAGCATCCTGATTTCAAGAAAAGAAACTGAATTGAGAGGGACTATTCAAAGAAGCAAGTATTTTTCGGTAGAATCGGATGTTACAACCTCAGTATCCCATGAAATTGGTTGCACATTATAAGATGCAGATGAATATATGAATTTCTACTACAGATGAGGTGTGCTATGCATTCAAGTGACTTCAGGCCAGTTTTTTAATGCATGAAAAAAAATCAGACAATGATAGATATTTAGGCAGCAAAGGTTGCAGATCAATTTGTCACATGACTTTCAAAAGGTATCCTGGCATTAAATTAATTTCTTTAAATTTCATTACATTAATTTCCTGCACCTTTAAAGGATAAATTTCATTTGAAATCAGTCTTTTAAACATCAATGTGCTGTGTGCAACCAGACTTCTGAAACAGATGTAAAAGACTTTCTTCACAGAACAGTAATAAGAAACTGTGAATATAATTAGGAATATTTATCAAAAAGGAATTTAATTCACACCTTACTTGCCTTCAGTTCTTTTTATATAACAGATTACATAGCAGTCACTCTAAAGTGCTACAGGGAATTTAATGTAAATGTATATTTTTCTATCAAATCTCTATCTTATACTGAAAACAAAGCAGCTGAATAAAATGCAACTATATGATGTGCTAGAGGATATTCCTTGCTTGGAGCCTAATTGCTGCAATTCTCAGGCAGAGCATCCTACCCCAAAGCTTTTCTATCAGAACAGCTTAGTAGCTAATTCCCACAAATGTTCTGGTAGTGAAAATGCCTTCAGCCAGCCACCTTCACTTACAAAGAAAATATGGACTATTAATGTATTTAGAAGTTAAATTACTTTATAGACTGAATCTGTTATCGGTGAACATTCTCACAGCAGATTCCTCTTGGCTGCTACTCATTAGCTGTAGAAAATAAAAATTATTTTGTTTATCTCTGCTGATCTAAATTATCATACTAGATTGATGCAAGGCCAGAGGATGCATCCCTGGTAACAGCACTTCAAAATTTTTGTGCCTTGGACAGTTTAAACTAAAACTTTATCTGGAAGCTCCTTGATAAGTAATTGAGCTCCAGAAGCATTGTTGTGGGATGTAACAGGATCACAGAATGGCCTGGGTTGCAGAGGACCTTAAAGATCATCCAGTTCAAACTCATCTGCCATGGGCAGCAGCCTTGCTCACTAGACCAGGTTTCTCAGAGGCCCATCCAACCTGCCCCTGAACACTTCCAGGGCTGTGGCATCCACAACTTCTCTGGGAAAAATGCACTAGTGCCTCACCAACCTCACTGCAAAGATCTTTTTTTCTAGTATCTAATCTAAACTTACTCTTTTTCAATTTGAAGCCATTCCCCCTTGTCCATGCTAGAAAGGGTGATGTGATTATTTGGGTTGGGTTTTTTTTGTCTTTGTTTGGCCCCATGTAATAACTGGTTCAGCCTAAACCAAAGATTTTGCTTCATCTGAGTATTTACTGGGTGAAAAGGACTCTGTACCTCCATGTCTATCTTACTCTGAAGGCTGAAAATTTTAGAGGCTTGTATAATAAAAGATGTCTAAGTCCCTGATTCAATAAATGTTTATGTACAACAGTCTGTAGCAATGCCAACATGAGAGATTTTCATCAACTCACATTCCTGGCTAAAAAATGATCTCGGAATCTGATTAATGTGGGATTAAATCCCCTTAAGTAGAAGACACAAATCCCAGCTGAATACCTTAAGCAGCAAACTGAATGGTGAATGGTACATCTTCCATGATGATTTTATCAAGACTATAATTTATTCCATCTGAAACCACTCATTATTGGATTTGGACTGTTTTTCTTCCTGGGGAGGTGGGGAAAAGCCAGGGAAAGTATCAATCTGCTCCTAAGTTAAAGTGCCATTTGTATATTCCTTTGAGAGGATGGACTGCAGCTATCACAGTCCCCTTTTGAGTCCACATAAATGTGTGTGAATGTATTTTTGTTTCCCGTGCATGTTCTAATCTGAATTTTAGCATCACAATTTCCCCACAAGAATTTAAGATTACTTTTCAATTACAGCCTTATCAGTATATTACAGTAACTGGAGAATAAAGAATTCAGGTCCTCATCCCTACCTACAACTTGTAAGTTTTGGTATCTGCATAAGTGATTTAATTTTTGGAGGCATTGATCCTCTAATTGCCTTCAGCACCTTAAATTTTTTTCCCACAACAAATTAAAAGCCTGTGGGCAAAAATACTGTTTTTCACCTTGCAGTAAACTTCCAGACTATCAGAAAATACTAGTAAGTATATTGCAGACAATTTAGGAAATACAAAGATTTTTCAAAAGATTTTATCTGAGGAATATAAAAGATATATATGACATTTTAGAAGAATTACTAACTCTAACAGTTGTGGGGAATTTGTGTGTGAAGTCATAAGAGTTCCATAAATACAATCTACTGGCCAGAAGATACTATACTAAAGAGTGTTAAAATCCCATTATTAATTTAAACAATTGTTATGTATCAACTGAACCAGTATCATTAACAAAATAGGAGGGCAAGGGAAAAACAAAGATTTTCCATCCGCTGAATTAAATATATTTACAGTTGTCTGCTGTTCTGTGACATAGTGACCACTAAATTTAACATAAGAAGGCAGTGTTCTACCTGAAGATAATAACTCATAACAACAATAACTGCAAATTTTTATACCCCCTCATATGAAACAAGAGTCAATAACCTTTTAGGCAAATGACTGTGGTATGGCTGATAAATAACAGGTTGCATCCACTTACCCATGCCTCTCCTCTTCCCTTTTGGTGGTGACACCCAAGATTCATTCAAGAACCCTTTTAGGCCTAACAGGCTTTAACTGACCCTTTTAATGCCAATTCTTAGATTTAGATTTGCCAAGATCTGTCTTCCCAGACTTTAGAAAGTGGGGATTACCTATATCATATTCCCCCCTCTACTGCCTTCAAGTACCTCCTTTGTTTTAAATCAAATAAAGGAAGTATACACACCTGCGGTGGAGCTCTCCCATTCTTCACAGTATCTAGTAAGTTTTAAATGCTCTCATGTAAAACATGATGCTTTTTCCTATCAGATCCTAATTTCACTGAATCAGTGTACAGTTCCTGGAGGAACTAAACACCAATCTTATTTTGAATCCTATTTACTCACAAGATGTGATACTTTGCCATTTCACTTACTTTGTGCCTCCAAGCATTGGAGGCATTATAATTTCTGGGTTTCAGCCATGCTATTGAAACAGCATTACCAAAATTACCAAAATTTCTATCAAGCTAAAAAAAACCCCCTTTGGTTATCCAAGTGATTTTTAAAAAAAGAATTCAAAAATTTAACCAAAAATTAGCAGAGTAAATATTTTGTGGTGTATTTATTCTATAGAGTATATTCATACTTCAGGTGTAAAACATTGTATACACAAATAAACGTAACATACCGAAATCCACAAGCTTGACTCCTCCTTCAGTGGTCAAAAGGATATTATTTCCCTTAATATCACGGTGGATAGTTTTGTTTTCATGCAAGTGCTGAAGTCCCTGGAAGACGAGACAAACATGAACTTTTAGCAACAACTCTGTCCTCCCTATTGCATTTAAATGTATGAAAAGTACACGATTTTTTTTAATCCAGACCCATAGGGATATCATTCTTCGGCAAAACCACTTGCCAAATGACAAGGTATAAATATTCTTTAATTGCCCCACTTTATGACAAATAGAAACTCTAAGATGAAAGCAGAAAAATATCACTATAAACCTACATATAATACTTAAGAGTATAAACTCAAAGAAAACTACTAAGACCTAAATTCCACCAGAGAAAATAAAATTTCAGTTATAAGAAAGTCATAAATAAAGACACTTGATCCTAATGAGCAAAACCAGATTCTTGTACCAAATTCTTGTACCAAATTCTTGTTTGAATTTGCTAGATATATGGATTATTTTACTATAAAAATATTTGGATCCAGACATAGGATGCTGAACAGTATTTTGATGATATTTCTGCTATTTCTTAAAAGAAAAGCAATTTTGATGCTGAACTGTATTGACTGAGAAAACTGATCAATGGTCAGAAATGAATTTTCATTTTCTTAATAGTGAAATCCACAGATTAGCTGCTATTTACCTTGCTTGCTTAAGAAGAACCATCCTAATTACACATTCCCTTGATTTCATTAAACACTGCTATAATCCAAGACAGTGAGCTGTGTTAGTGGGGACACGATCTTCATTCGTTTAAAGAAAAAAGTATGAGCTGAATATTGGCTGTCGTTTCATTGAAAGCTTATCTTACCATCAGAGCTTCACGTAAAATGTAAGCAATTATAAGTTCATTCATCCTTTCACCTCTCTTCAGAAATCCTTTCACAAGATCTGTCACAGATCCACCATTGCACAGCTACAAAACAAAAGGGGAAAATAAAAAGGAATTAAGGAGTGTTGGAGCAGTCACCTGGTTTTCATTTTCAGTATTTTTTTGTATCTGTAGCCAAATGAGATTCTACTCAACTGACAAACCACAAATTTGTCCTCAAGTTTACTATTCATACAAAAAACATACACAGCAATTTTTGCCAATTATTTTTCACCACTTTCTGCATTTAATTCTTGTCCAAACACAACTATGGTAGTGTATCTCTTTGTTTTCCTATACCCATGATTGCTTTTCACTGAAACAGAAGTAGATTACAGTGCAATAAATTAGCTGTGAAGGCATGTTTTGTGGGGCATACTAATTGCTTCTTATATTCATCATGTGGAACACACCACCAATGCGGATTATTACAACATCAATTCTCAGGTATAAAAGCTATGTAGAGTAAAAAATCGACTTGAGGCGTCAGAAGACAGGCAGGAGAGAAATTTCCCCAACATGAAATCTACCATGGGTAAAGCTGCCCTTTTTGCCAAGCAGCACCTCATTCCTAGCACAGGGAGTTGTGATACACAAGGCATGGGCATCATGGGATATGAAAAGTCTCCCACTGAAATAAGGTGTGCTGTGGGTTTAAGCATAATTATAGCCCTTGTTGCATCAACCCTGTCAGCTCCTTGTTCCAGATGCAGAGCCACAGCCTGCCCTGGACAATCCTCTCCCACTCTCCAGAGAGAGCCCAGTCAGACTCCTGTCTCATATATGTGGGGAGAAGAGACTTGGCTTTGCTCTCTAAAAAGGATAGTGAGCACACATTACCAGCAGATTAGTTTAGACTTCATATGTTCATTTTTATAATTCACCATTTTTCTGCTGGAAAAAGCAACAATGTAACTTTAGTGAGAACCTACTACTGTAGGAGTTACATGTCTGCAAAGATGAAATTGGAACTTAAGCCCTTAAACTATCCATAATGCACCTGACAATACTCATTGATTGAAGAGCCATTTGTCTCTTGTAAAGGAGTAGCTGCTTCCAATAAAACAGTAAAATAAACCTTAATTCTTATTAAGAATTAATAAGATCATCATCCAGTATCTTTTCACATGAAACTAAATATCCATGTAAGATATTTTAACAATGCAGCAAAAAATAGGAATTCCTTTGCACTACATTTGAAGTAAATTCAAATAAAGGGCATAATTGACCAGTAAAACCTTTCAACTGTGGAATTCTAGACATCAGATTCTTCTGTATATGTATATTTTTCACCTGTTCTAAACCCCTACATTTTTTTTTCTGTGCTGCAATTGAAAAAAAGACTTGCACCTTACAGTAAAGAGCATTTTCTATCCCCTTGTACCCAAACATAACAATAATTCTCTGACTACCTTTGAAACTCCTAGGCTGCACTGAACTTGTACCACATGAACGCCTACAGAAATGCCATTCACTACATAACTCTTGTTGCAAGACGTATCCCGCATCAGGTCAGCAAGGGCTCTGGTCTGACAGGGGCTGAGCTCTATGGCAACAGTCTTGGAACTCACTTAACCTCTCCCTTACCTAAGTGGGACAATATGCATGCTTAGAGGGGGAAGAACTCATATGCTTAAATGATGGGATTAAATGCTTTGGTGGATAAGGATCAGATTCCCAAGCAGGATTTCATTTACTGTCATCAGCCGTGCTGGTCTGCCTTCCACACTGATGTTTTCAAGTTATTTTTTTGCAATGACCTTTTCTTTTCAGGGTTTCTACCATTTTAACTTTGGCACATCACCAACATATTTAATAAAACCAAATGGATTATGACAACTCTGGTTAATTTAATGCTCTTAAATTCAGGGCACTGAAACTCTCTGACAAATAACAAACCAATTATGAAATACATTACACATATGATATTCTTCAAACTATTTTTCTTCATTATCTCATATTATATTTTGCTTCTTACAGATGGATCTTTTTTTCCTTACAGAGCTGTATACCTGTTCAATGTAAAGAAAACCAGAGAAGAAATGAATATATTCTTTCTGTAGGTAGAATGAAGGGAGAAACTACATCTCAGAAATCACCTTCTTTAATCTTTAGGCAGTAAAGCCAATACCGAATTTATTTGCTTGGTTCAGTAATGTCAATTTTCACTTTCTTTAACATGTTGCCCTAATTATTTTCTCTACTTCTCTCATAAGGTATAAATCCTTACTATGAGATAAATATCGGCATTGTAAGATAAAACTTACTTAGAAAATCAGGTAATGTGAGATACAAAAACTGCGATTATTTTAGACCAAATGAAAACTGAACTTTGGTGTGTAAAAAGTCATCTAAACAGGTCTTGAAATCACCCAGAAGTCAGCTCTACCACAATTGAATCACTACACCAACTCCCAAGGCAGGGTGGCTGCTTAGACAGGGTTCAGCTGAGGACGTTACAGACACAGGTTCTTGCACACACTGTCAAAGAGCCATACTTTTACCTACATCAGACAATAAATATTTTTCTGAGACCACCAGCATAGAAGGAAGAGGGAGAAAAAGGCCGGGTATTAGAATGCAAGCAGCTATAAGGAGGAAAAGGGATTATTGGAATACAACCACAATTAGAAAAGGAGATTATGGCAGACATTGCATGTGTGTGCTCTACGCTGTGTGGGTGGGAGGGAAACGATGACGACAACGATGACACAGGTTAGTATTAACCTTGTTCTATTTTTACCACCATGGGTAAAATGTTGTATCTGCTCTAATTTCCTGTCTCTACTGTGCATTTTTTGGAGGCGAAGCTGCCGCATGTCCCTCAAACCTACACGTAACTGAAGTTGAAATGGTGATTCCTTCTCCTGACACAGGTTATCAAGTTGCATGTGTACCCAAATCCAGAGGTATCATACATACCTCAAAAAGTCCTTCTCCTAACAAGTCAGGCTCTTCTCTTCCATCTCAAAACAAGAAGCCGCAGCAAGTTACAATACTCCTGCCCAATACAGTGCTGGACCATGCTTGCTTGGGAATTTGAGTAGAAAGGAAATAAATTATCCTTGGGATGTTGATCAAGGTCTAGTCCATAGAAACTTATAGGAATAAAACCCCCTAAATTGTTAAAAAAAAAAATTGCATAACCTTGATTTATACAATCCTCTAATGAGAGATTATGGGATAAACATTATTTAGCAGTACTGTTAGACAGAAAGTTTCCTGGGGTGTTGTTAAATATTGCAGCTTATAATTATATCATCTGCTGCTTCTCAGTAGCATGCTGTCCACAGTAAAAACACTGTGTAGCCTCTCAACAAAGCTGCTCAGTTCAAGTTAAGCCAACTGAAATGCTTGGATGACAAGAAATCATGAAGGCAACAGAGAAAATTTTTTAAAAAGATCTTTCTAGTTTTCAGTGAAGCATCTAGAGAAGGGAGGCGCTGGTAGCTATTACTTTGTTGCAAACATTGTGAGCTCACAGGACCGATTAGCTGATCAGTCTGTGTCATTAGCTCTACAGCACTTGGCACAACCTGCTCAGAACACCTTGATGATGGGCACTATAGCAGAGAACAGTACATGCACAGGGAACCTGGGACAGCCATACAGCAGGAGCTACGTGTCTGCCTCAGCTCTGCCCCAGCACTGCTCCCTGCCCTGAAGGTCAAAGCAACTCACCAAACCAAATGACCTCTCACCTGTCAGACATGACCTCTTCTGGGAGAAGAGGATCGTAAGTCAATTTTTCTCTCCCATGCTAGAAACCCCCATAAATTTACACACATTCTCTTGCACACACAGAAGCATTTCTTGTGGTAGTATCAATTGGAAGCCCCCACTTAGCTTTGAATATACTCAGCCTAAAGGGACAGACTCTTGGAATGTCCAGCTGGTGAGACTCAGGAAGGGAAGATATTCATGTCTGTCCCACAAGGAAGTAATTTAGAAATGTCAGAACTTTGCACATGGGCAATTTTCATCAAATTAATATTAGTCACTTCTTTTATTGTCCCCTTGTGATTTAGAGGTATTTTCCTTAGCAGCAGTTTTTCAGTGACTGCATTGATAGAATGCAAATATTATCTACTAGCAACTAAAAGGAGGGTGAACTGAAGCCCTGAGGCTACCTAAAATGGGGTAGAGAAGACAGAGACAGAATCTTAGTAGTGTCATACAGCAAACGATGAGAAGCAAAAACTTGCCACTACAAGACAGATGATTCCTACTGGACATAAATGAAAAATTTTCCCACTCTGTTAAGCACTAGAAGAGATTACACAGTGAGTTTGTGTTACATCCATCCTTGGAGATATTCAAATATTGAACTGAAAAGACATATTTGTAACATTTTGGATAATAGTCTTTAAGCAAGGGGCTGGACCAAATAACTTCCAGAAGTCTCCTCCATGCTGTACTTTTATATGATTCAGAATATATTAATTTTACAATATTCAATTCCTAGTCTGGATTGTCAGACAGCAGAAAGACTGGGAAAGAATGAAGGAAATCTTGCATACCAAAACCAGCGGAAAGAAAAACTTAATAGAAATCTTGATTTATATAAAAGTCTGCCTTAAAAAGTCTGCCTTAAAGAGCTGTCTCATGGCCATGCATAGCTGTATCAAGAGGGGTGCTTAGGAATCTTCTACAGTGGTATAAAAGGGCTCCTCCCTTATGATTTTCTGGCACTCAAAAAGGCAAAGACTCATACTGGGATGACATGCAGTTCTCCACCCACCCATCTGCCACAACCATGTGCTACTGTAATTGAGCTATTAGTATGCTAAGCTATCTTCAGCAAAAAAATTATAGAAAAGCATGATCCTAACACATGAAATGTCACTTTAAATTGCCATCACATCACAGTCATGCAGATGTTCTTTTTAGGTCTTAGTCACTCTTCACCTGACCCAGTTAGACATTTCTCCTCTTCAGCTCTTCTGGATTCTGATGCCCATTGAAGATTCATTGAAGCTCCCCTTCCAAGAAAACTATCAGCTGCACTTTTGCTAGGGCCATTAGACCCTTTAATCATGCAACTG